AGGTAATGTAATTAGCATGCGGTCTACGCAGATGAAATAGATTACAAACATGCGGTCTACTGTAGGATATGTAATACTGCATCGGTCTACGCAGATGAAATAGGATACCAAACATGCGGTCCTACTACGCAACATGTAATTAGCAATGCCGGTCTTACGCGCAAGTAGAGATAATAACCATGCGGTCTAGCGCAGTAAAGGAATAAAACATGCGTCTCGCATGTGAAGAATTAAACCTGCGTCTTACAGCAGTAAAGAATGTGATTACAAACATGCGGCCTACACCAGATCAAACATGCGGTCTAATGCGCAGGTAATGAATTAAATAATGTTGGCGGTCTAACGCAAGTCAACCGGGCTGCGGTCTTAACGCAATCAAACATGCGGTCTACGCAGGTAAATTCGAAATAAAGTGAAATGCGTCCTACGCAATCAGAAACATGCGGTCTAAGTTACGCAAGTACATGTGAAACTGAATAATCATTGCGGTCTATCGCACTCAAAACAACTGCGGTCGTACAGCAAGTAAATCGAGATCAACAACCGGCTAATCGCATCAAAACTGTCGGTCATAGACCAAGTAATTGAATATTAATTAATCATGGCGGTTATCGCCATCAAAACATGCGGTCGTACGCAAGAATGTAAATTTAAACAGCGGGTCTAAACGCAAGAGAGAAGGAAAATTGGAACAAATTAAATCGTCTAAACGCAAGCAATACACTGCGTCCTACGCAACAACACATGCGGTCTACGCAAGTTAAAGAAATGTAAACGCGGTCTACGCAAGATTGAAAGAAATTGAACTTGCTATTACACGGTCTATATGGCGCAAAGCAATAAATAGCGGTCTACCGCAGAATTAGAAATTGAAATAATCATGCGGTGTACGCGAATCAAAACATGCGGTCTGACGCAAAGTGAAGTAATGTTGAATAATCAACTGGGCGGTCTACGCGCAAAGATGAAAATAGGATTACAACATGCGGTCTACGCAGGTTAATGTAAATTAGCATGCGGTCTACGCAAGTAAAGAAATGTACCCTGTTACAAGCAGCATAATTAGAACAGATTTTGTTGGAATCCACAAAGGCATGAAAAGGATTACGGGATGGGACATCTCGCATACATCGAGCATCGCCTGCATGCATTGGGCTCGGTACATCACGCTAACTGCATCAGTACTTCAATTCCAAATTGAATACGTGCATCAATTGATTGCATTTCACATGCCATGTTTAGGTTAGCCGAGCCTATCTAGATTGCATTTTTGCATGCGATGCATTAGCCATTCTTAACATGAACTAGGACATGCATGTTGGCTAAGTAGTTTACTTTTTTGGCACGGAGTACGATGTAAGTATTTATGTTTTAGCATTCTGCACGCGTGTGAATGTTGCCATAACAGCATAATTACCATGAGGCTAACTGCTTATGTGATATAACTGCTTGAATGCCTGTGGATGGAGGTTGAATTACCTAAATTGGAATAATACATCAAAACTGCGAGTTTTAAGCCCACTAGATAGTGGCAAAACCATCTTTTCTAAAAGCCCACTTGAGGGTGGCAAAACTTGCATTTTAGCCTACTTGTGAGTAGCAAACCATTTTCAAAACAAACATGCAATGTTTTGTTCCAATTTAGGCGATTTGGTCTATACTTGTTTGCTGCGCGCATAACATAGTAATTCTAGGCTAAAAAATGGAATAAAAACATATAACGTTTTCAAAAACGGATATCACGGTTAGTAGAGGCCGGTCTTCGGACCGGGCGAAAGGGGGTGCTCATAGCTGACCTTCCCCGATCGTACCCAAGCTCCCGAGCCAAGACAACTCCGGTGATGACGGACATGTGGCCTTCGGCACCGAGTCAGGGTTTCCTAAATTCTCCCATTAAAAAAAATATTTAGGTGGCGACTCTGTATCTGGCAAGGCAGTCCATGTTTGGCACTTCTTTCAAAAATCTGTTTTTCTCAAAACGATTTGCCAGATTTGGACTCTTTGGTTCAGATTAAGAACCGTGACACAAATTGAGTCCGAACTGTAGTGAGGCCCACGCGGGCGCGTCTACAACCACACATAGTGTAGCAGTACAGGATATCGGATAGGGTTATTCCAGCATTCTGCTAATGTGCCAACTCGGCAATGCCATTGATGATCCTAAAGGAGTTAATGGCTAGTTGCATGGGATTGAGTTTGCAATAATGGCGACTATTGGAAAGGGCATGTAATCCTTCCCAGGCATGATGGAGTCCTTCTCCCCAGCCAACCTGAGTTGAACGTCGGCTGGAACGGAGAACTCTTGCCTAAAATATTCTAATTTGGTCGAGATGTCTACCCTCTACCTATACATGCCTATCATGTCGAGTTGATATAATTGGTACTAGATTTCAAAAGAGAGTGGTCGATACGGGTCTGAAGACTTCGGCTAGAACCTAGAGGGCACTAGGTTGAGGGTTTCTGAAGATCAATGTGAGGATTTTGTTTTAGTTTCCCTAAAGAATAGGGTTCTAAATCAAATCCCCAAACCTAAGTCTATGTAGAAACAAGAATCAAATGCAAGGATCTAGAAACCAAGCAAGAAGACCAGAAAAGAAATATAATTCAGAAATCAAGAATGAGGTAGATAACAAGAAAACAGATATGCACACACGAAACAAATGGGTGTGTGCAAGATGGTGTGCAAGAACCGTAAACAATAGAAATACTCTAGACCTCAAGGACAAATTATAATGCACAAAACTGATTCAAGAACAGGAAATTGATTCATAATTGAAGAAAAAATAAAGTGCAACTATGAAAACGGATTCAATAGCAACAGAATTGACATATGGCAAAGAAAGAACATATTCAAAATAATGAAAGGCTGAAACTAAAATAAAAAGAAACTAGGAACTCACCGGTTGGGGCCGAGGTCGAGGACACCGATTTGAGGTTCACAGAAGTCAGACGGTGACGATGAGTGGAGCAGGAAAGTAAATGCTTTGCCGGAGAAGTAAACGAAGCAGTTACAAAGAGCTCAAGAACACAGCAGTAGAGGATTTGAGAGTTTAGAGAGAGTGTGTGTGAGCACAGAGAGAGAATGCGAGAATGAGAAGTGAAGAGACAGAGAGAAAAAGAAGAAATTTTGTCAAAAATGTGAAAAGGTGGCAAAACATAATGAGATGCCTTGGACGACATGCTTGTTAGGTGGCGCGGGCAAGAGTGACGCGCCCTAATAGCGAGTGTCTGGTACGAACCAATGCGTGACAGCTCATGCGCAGTTAAGAACTCTTGAAATTCTTGAAGTAGTGAGGCCATAACCTCAACTAGAGGGGCAGTCTCGGTTGAGAGGCGGTCCCAGTTAAGAGGCTTGAAGAAATTGATTCTTGGTTCTTGATCCTTTGTAAAGTGGACAGTTGAGTCCTGGTTATATGAAGCCAACGAGTCATGATCTCGGTCAAATCGAAGAGTGAATTTTAGCTGACATGCTATATTGACAAACGGTGTAGGTTCCATCACCTCAGGTTGCCGAGATAATAGAACCTAGGGGGCAATTGTGGGGAAGTATTTTGTGAATGACAACACGTGGCAACGGTGACGCCGAGGTGCCACGTGGCTTGGTCACGATGCTGAGATGATCTCAGCTAAGCCGAGGTTATCTACAGAGATGTTGAAATCCGAGATAAGCAGATAAGAGACCAGAGTCCTAGAACAGGAGAGGATCTCAGTCTGGATAAGGATAATGTTCAATGAGAGTTTATCCCTATGCAGCTGAAGGTCTAGGATGAGCATTGAGCTTAAGTCCATTGGAATAAGACTTCTAAAGGAACTAGGTCACTAGTGATTATAAAAACAAGGCCCCCTCGTGGGTCAGAGGTAAGTTCTTTCTTGTAAGTTTTGAGTACAATTTGCTATCTGTGAAAGATATTGATTACTGACTTGATCGTCGGAGTCCCCCAAGGTGGACGAACCACCGCCAGATTCTCATCTTCTTTTGCAGGTTGTTGGGCTTAATCTATTCTATTGGTGCTCTCCAGCTGAGTTCCCCTTTTGGTTGTGTGGTCGAAAATCAACACCCACAATTTGGCGCCGTCTGTGGGAACTTGGTATAGAATAGATAGCCAACATCTAGCAAGAAGGATGAGAAGGATCATCTTGATTCTTGATTCTTGGTTCTTGGTTTTTGACGAGTGGACACTTGAGTCCTTGTTTCATAAAGCTGCTGAGGCATGATCTCGGTCAATGAAATACATGTGTAGGTTCCATCACCTCAGGTTGCCGAGGTAATAGAACTTAGGAAGCAGTTATGGGCACATATTTTTTGGGTTGTCCACATTGCCGAAGTTGTTAGCCTAGGTGCCACATAAATGGACCAAGTTGTCGAGATATGATGTGATCATATCTGAACCCGAGATATTCAGATAGAGGACAAGAGTCCTAGATGACATCAAGCTACCTATTTGGATAAGAGATAGAACTCTTAAAAAAGTTCATCTTAATCTGGATAGTGTGAGTCGTGATAGATGTTATCCTTGTAAAGAATAAAGTCCCATGAAGTAAGACTTCTAGGGGAAATTAGACACTGATCATTATAAAAGTGAGGTACCCTCGTGGGTTTAAGGTATGTTTTTATTTGTGATGCTTTGACTTGTGCATTGAGTACTTATTTGATATCTTTGAGAAATAAGTTGACTGACTTAATCGTCGGAGTGCCCTCGGGTGGACGAACCGCCGCGGCATTCTCATCTTCTTGTTACGGGTTGTTGGGTTTAATCTATTCTGCTAGTGCTCTCCAGCTGAGTTTCCCTTTTGATTGTGCGGTCGGAAATCAACACCCACAACAATCAATGATATTTGTTACTCTTAAATCCCATAGGGTTGTATTACAATTATTTTCCTGCAAAAACAGAGTACCATGTTTTCTTTATCCCTACACTTTTATTTTTACTTTCTTGTTTTTGCTTGAGCACGAAATTTTCATCAGCAAATTTGGACCAAATAGTGAAAACTTCAAGAGGTCACAAATAATCATGCATGGTACTACTTCCAAGTAAAATTGCTAAAACATGTCAACATACAATATGAATCTACTTTACAACTAAAAAAAGTCAAATCAGGCTCTTCATCAGGGACATTTTGATCAAATTTTTTGGAACATCTTAACATTTCTGTCTCTAATCAGTGAGGTTGCCCCAACCTCAACGCTACATAAGCCAAAAGCCTATACCCAACTAACATAACAGCCAAAGCAAACACATCCCAACCCTTATTATCAATACCCAAATACTCAATTGCTGGAAAATCTATAACCTTGCAGTGAGCCCCTAATTCACACTCATAAACTTCGGTCTCCGAGTACTGAACACCCACCAAAAGCTTGTAACAATAGTGACTAAACGAAATGTATTTCAACCACGCTATGAAAGCTGGTATGTGCTGAATGTAGTATCCACCGGCTAATAAAAACACGAGCATTGTCACGGAAGCCAATGTCGTGGCTTGTTTCACTTCCATTAGGATGGCACCGAGGGCTAGTCCGAGCCCCTGAGAGACTAGCACATTGAAAAGGATGATCAAGAGGGTTAGTATGAATGTGATGAGTGATGGCTTGAGACCTCCCATCCAATACGTGATGGTAACAAAGATGGTTGGGAGTACGAGCTCCATCGGTAAGTCACCCACCATTCGGGCAAAATAGTAGGAGGAGAGGCGGTACATGCCCGATGAACGTTCTTTTATTAGCATTGGCCGCTCTTGCGGGAAGGCGAATATGGCATTGAAGAGAGGGAAGAATCCCCAGAAGATTGAGAAGAAGAAGAGAAGTCCCACCTGTTGAATGTTCAAGCTTTGTTAAAAACAATTGTGTAGAAATCAAGAAAGTTTCGATCACAAAAACAGTAAAGTGAAACAATCAAAACACTCAGAGCTCTAAGCCTCATAAGCTTAACAACTGTACAATGCTGTCTCACTTTTTCTCATGGCTCTGGGCCTCCGCCTAATGGCTTTGGCCATCCACCTCTGCAAAAGACCCCTTACAGTAAAATCGAGTGAACAATAAAACTACAAGACACTACACAACAGAAACTAAGTGCATTTCTAGAAGCAACCATGTTGAACACTAGAACCTAATGTTCAAAAAAATTTACCCTATGAAACCTGAAGAAATAACCATTACTAAACATTCTAGTGGGTAAATGACCACTACTGGGAAAATAAATAAATAAATTAATAAATTTGAAAGCAACTGACCTTCTAAGAAAACACCAAAAATTGCTTTCAGAGTCTAGAAAACTGGTTTTGCACAAAAATGAAAATGATGGGTTTTATTAACCTCACAATTCTGTTTCCAAACACACGAGAAAACAAAAATGCAACTAAATTTGTTTGATGAAGCTGCTGCTTGAGATCCAGAGATGCACAGAAGAGGTGTGGTTCAAAATACCTGATCTTGAATGTGCGACGTATCAGAATGCCACCATAAAAGGCCAGAAAGAATAGAGACAGTCATGACTTGAAAAATTCTTAAACCAGAATAGGACTCATGCTTTCTTTCTTTTAGTCCCCTCCTCAGCAATACCTTGAATTGCATCCACCAACCAGTTGTCCATTGATTTTCAGTGCCTACAACACATCAATGCTTTTGTGGTTAGTAAATTATCAAGTAGCTGCTTAAAACCAGAAAAGCATACTTGCATATTTAATGCACTGACAATACCCAACATCGGTATTTCATGACTAATGTAACACTTAGGTATATGAAAATAGAGAGTGATGGTTCGAGATCCTTTGTCCTTAAAACTGGGCTGATGAACTTTTTACCAGGACCAGCATAGTACCCAAGGTGGCCTGATTTTCCCCGAATGAGGTTGGTCTTTGGCTTGAGCCTAGAGTTTGAAGCCTAGTCCAATTTGTCTAGTGGAGCCGCGAGCTTGTCAAAAATTACTAAAAATATAAGAAAAAAATTGAAAACTAGAGAAAAAATTTAAATAAAAATTTCCATAAATTTTGACCATTAGGCTAAGCCCACTAGCTTGTTGGCCCACCCATCGGCCAGGACCATGAGCTTGTATATACTAAACTTGTTGGGCATGGTTTGAGCCTAAGGTTTTTGGCCACTGGACCCACTCAATCTTGCTATAAAATAAAATAAAAAAGCCGACTAGGCTTAGTTTGCGGACAGCATTTGGACACATTTTCGTTGGGCGCTCGATGACAGGATCATCGTGTAAGTGTGAGTGATGCGATAGAAGGACGTATGCTTTTTTTTTTTGTTGGCCTAGAGATGGACAGGGTTTTTGGCTTACTTGATCTTGACGATCGAACTGGGGTCCCACAGCTTCGACGAATCTCGTCCTTCAAGGCAGGGTACAGGTTCTTCCTGTAGGAAGATATTAAGGGCTGTTTGATAGAGTTTTGATCATCACGGTGGTCTGCTCTGCCATGGAACTCTTGTTGATCATCCTGTTTTGCATCTGGAGTCACACCTGTACATAGCCAAAACAGTTTCATAGTAAAAATATGATAGGATTTTTTTAAATTAAATTAAAAATCAGATCTTGTAATTTGGACGGCAAAGAATCTCATGCCAGCCCAAATTAAATACATAGTTTGCTTCATTTATAATCTTTTTTTCTTTTTTTTTTCAACAAATCTGCAAAATTATCAATTATGGTTTCAAGTTAACTGACTTTCATCTTTGTGATGGCCCATGTTAATTTGGCTATGAGCATAATAGGGCTATTTGGTGTACTTTATTATTTTTATTTTTTTGTAGGTTCAAAATTAATAAAGAAAAAAAACTAAAAGTCAAAATACTCCTCACTTTCTGAAAAAAAAATATTTTGATTTTTTTTAATTTTTTTATGTCTAGAGTTATAAGTATATATAGAAGCTAGACCGCAATGTCAAGTGATTTGAAAAGACCAACTACAGTTTAATTTCATTGTTAAGTATAGAGGTTTTGAACCATTTCAAATTCCCAATTTTGTGGGGAAGGTCAATTGTGTCATGTCTATTCTTCAAGATTTGAAACAGAGTCCATCAGGAAAATTAGTTTGTGGTTCGGGATCACTCCGTAGATTTTGTCCCGATAAGATCGACCAAATTAACAAAGCTCAAGATGAAGGTCCTACATATTTTTATTTTTTTAAATAAAGGTTGACAAGGAGTGATAAATGAACCAAACAAGCTGAACAGTTAATTGCTTAAAGTTGGTTCGTTAAACTTTTGAGCCGATCTCAACCAAGTTTTTGTCGAACCGAGCTTGAATAGCTTAGTATTTTTCTATTGTTTTAACGAGCCGAATGAGTAATTGATTGTTCAAATTTATTTGAAAACTTTAACAAGCTCAAACATATATTTAAACATGACTTATTTACTTAATGAACAAAACTTGAACGAGGTTTTAACCTGCCGGAACACGAGTTAGAGCTCGAGCTAGACAAAGTAGAACATTAAGTCCATTTTTTCTGATTTTTAGTCATTTGTAATTGCTACGGACCAGAATTACCATGATAGTCTGGCACCCCTGCCTATGTAAGAATATCTTATAGCAGATAATTTTTTATCAATTTAGAAACGTCATTTAATGTTTTCACATTTTAATCTATTTAACCCTGCTCATAACTTCAATGTAAATGAATTCTTGATTTGTTCAGATAAACAATTGTTGAACATTAAGCAAATTTAGTAAAACTTTTATGGAACGTTTTACTAAACAATTTTTTTTCTCCATTTTTGAACATTTTAGTGAAGTTTAATTAACAAAATTAACATTATAACTGAGAAGATGAAAAGAAATTCCATACCATTAGCAAGATCAAGCAGAAAATCAGCAGGGTTCACAAAATTAAACCCGGGAACGAACCCAATGGATCCGAAATACTCCATAACCCTACCAGCACTTCCACTGTAAATCGGATACCCATCGGACAACACCACCACCTTATCAAACATCCTATAAAGCCTACTCGAAGGTTGATGAATCGTTGTAATCACCGTTCTTCCTCCTCTAGCCAATCCTCTCAGTGTCCCCAGGATACGTTGAGCAGTAGTCGAGTCGAGCCCAGAAGTAGGTTCATCAAGCAACAACAAACTAGGGTTCACCAACATCTCCTGCCCTATACAAACCCTTTTCCTCTCTCCACCTGACACGCCACGAAAGAGAGGACCACCGACAACGTTGTTTCGACACCTTGTCAAACCCAATTCCACGATAACTAACTCGACTTGCTCAATCTTCTCTTCTGTAGTGAGCTTATTTGGAAGTTTAAGTAAAGCTGCAAAAGTCAGAGTTTCAAGCACCGTTAAGTGAGGATACAACACGTCGTCTTGTGACACGAAACCGGTCTTTCGCTTAATGGAGCTAGAGAAAGGCTGCCCGTTGTATGTTATCGTGCCCGAGACTTTCCCTGGCAGCCTGCCTCCGAGTGCGGTCAGAAGGGTAGTTTTACCGCTCCCTGAGGGACCGAGCATTGCTAGTAGCTCCCCGGGTCGAACTATGCCACTGACACCGTTGAGGACCCTTCGAGTCGGCTTGGGTTCAGAGGATGAAAAGCAAGAGCCTTTGTTGGTTTGCAACTTCACAGTGTATGCAACATCTTCAAACTGAGAAAATTTTATAAACATGTACAAATATAGTTAAATTTCAACTAGTTCTAGCTACATGTTACATTTTTTTTATAAGAAAAAATATTGATTTATCGCAAAATGACATATCTCAACTAGATTGACACGTTGTTGTTGGTGACTAGGTTAATTTAAGGTACCTTTAGTGTGACGGGGCGTAGCGATTTGCAGAGGACGGAGAAACGGGCTTGAGAGGATTGTTGATGCTGATCGAGCATTATTGGATTTTCTTCATCCAAACAAGGACTAACGTTGTTACTAGCTGAAATTGGTGGCTCAGCATGAATTGAAGTGTTTTCTATGCGGTTGGTGACTAGAATACCAACTGGACTGCCACGGATACTACTACTACTCTCATGCTCAGGGGGCATCATTTCAAGAAACAAAATCAGAGAGAGAGAGTTTATTAAAGTTTGAGAGAGAGGCAGGGTTCACATGCAGAGAGATGAGCAATGTGAACTTTAAGATGAAGAATGCACGAGAAGCAGATTGTATGAGTCATAATATAGCCACAAGAACTATACCACCCACCCACCCACCTACAGTCTCCCGACTTTAAAATTTAGTATAACATTGATATTACGTCATTGATAATATATTAATGGTATTTGATATTATCAATCAATAATAACATTATGAGTAGAATAATAATAAATTTTATTATTTAAATGTAATTATTTATTCTAATATTAAAGATTTATTATACTTATATAGTAATTTGTTATTGAGTGATAATAATTTTTACAGTGATAATGGGATATTACTATTATTTTTTTATTTTTTTTATTCTTAGAACATGGTCTAGGGGATCTGTATGTGAGTATATATGCATAATTGTGTTGTCCAAGGTGCTCCTCACAACAGATATCCACTTTTTTTTTAGATGGTAACAGATAGAGTAATGTTCCAAACCCCCCACAACCCCCATACCCCCACAAGAGAGAGGGAGGAGAAAGAGAGAGGAAAAGAAAAAAAAAATATATATATATATATATAATGAGTGGTCACAAATCAATTGGAGATTGTGAGGATCATCAAAAATGGAGGTCTCAAGCATTTTTCATAACCGATATACACTTTTGCGTTTTGATATTGCACACATCATATTTATATGTACAGTTTATAAATGAAAGGGAAAATATCATTTAAGTGGAATGTAAAATAATAATAATAAAAAAAAGCATATTAATGAAAAAATTTAGAACTAATAATTTTATAAGTTTTTTCATGAAATTGTTATTATTTTTATAAGATAACCCTGACATGTTATTTCTCCTAAATGAAACCCTTTTTTTTTTTTTTGATAAACTTTTTTCTATGGATTATGTGTGAAGTGCTCAAAATTGTTTTTCTTAACATTTTTTTTAAACCAAACGATTTATCAGAAAGCAAATTATTTGAAATATTTTTTCGTTATGGATTATGGATTACTTTAATTATTTTTTAGTTGAAATATTTTTCTATATAATTTTCATAAGGACTGAGCATAGCATAAAGAATAAAGAAAGAAACAAAAAACTAGCTTTAACTTCACAACTAGAACTTTTGATGTGGCATATATTTAATGAGTTCCATATGCCTAAGTTATAATAATTATTGTCGAATATTATTCTTACTATTTTTTTAGTGCTTATTTTTCAAACGAAAAACTCATCAGTTGACGGTGATATAAAATTGTGATACAAATTTAGTGACATCTTTTGTTTTTGCATAATATAATATACAATAATTTTCAAAAAATAAAAATAAAAAACAAATCTGTGAAAATAGCCTTGGGGGTGAGGACATGTTGATTTAAAATGGTGAAAAATCAAAGATGTGACTTTTCATTTTTTTTTTGGGGGGTAGAATATTCAGTTCTTAAGCCACAGCATTTACCAGAATTCTGATTTGCATAACCAACCATTTTTGGAACGTCCTCAAATGTCAGCACTGAATTTTTTATTATTATTATTGTTGTTGTTGTTTAATTTTATGTAAAGCCAGCAAGAGGTATGCAAGTGGGGCCGTATTTTAGGCTAATGACAGCAAAAGAGAAACCCATGGGGACAATCTTATGCTTCATTCTATTGCCTGCCTCTAAAATTATTTGAAAAACAAAAAAAAAAAAAGAAAAAAGAAAACACCCTAGATATTCAGAAAATGTATCCAAACTAAAGAAAATGAATATATTGTTTATTGAATGAATATCATTGGTACAGGATGAAGTCATATTTATACACTGCAATTGACTCTTAACCATAACTACCTAACCACAGTTAATGCTGGACAGTTACTCTATAACAAACTAACAACCTATAACAAAAATAACAACCTATACAGCTGGATATTACACATGTGATGCAACTGCTGTAGCTTCTGTATCTGTTGCAGCTTCTGTATCTGTTGCAGGTTGCTGTGCCTTATCATACCCCTGCAAGCTCAAGGGACTAGGAAGGACATTGAGTTTGAGCTGAAGATATTGAAACCGAGTAACAGATAGAGGTTTAGTAAAGATATCAGCAACTTGATCTGAAGTGGGAATATGACAGATATGAAGCTTCTTGGATGCAACCCTTTCGCGAACAAAATGATAATCCACCTCAATATGTTTAGTACGAGCATGAAACACAGGATTGTTGCTCATAGCTATGGCAGATAAGTTGTCACACCATAGGGTAGGCACAGGAACAAAAACATGAAGGTCAGCAAGCAACATTCCAATCCAACTAAGTTCAGCCGAGGTTTGGGCTAAAGCTCTATATTCAGCCTCCGAAGATGATCGAGACACAGTTGGTTGCTTCTTGGCAGACCAAGAGATAAGATTAGGACCAAGATAGATACAGTAACCAGTGGTGGACCTGCGATCAAGGATATTACCTGCCCAATCTGAATCTGAATATGCATTGAGAAGAAGAGGACCAGAAGTGAAATGAAGGCCATAAGATAAGGTGCCTTTGAGATATCGTAGCAATCTTTTAACTGAGGTAAAATGGCTAGTCAGAGGAGAGTGCATGAATTGATAAAGATGATTAACCACAAAGGCTAAATCTGGTCTAGTAAGAGTAAGATATTGCAGTGCTCCAACCAAACTGCGGTACAAAGCCGGCTGAGAAAAGAGAGAATCTTCTGCTGCAGTAAGAGCACTGGAAGAAGACTTAGTAGCCATGGAAGAAGAGTAAGCTTTGCAGTCACTCATACCAGCCTTGGTCAATAAATCTGAGGCATATTTTTGCTGAGAAAGCACATAACCAGAAGCATGTTTTATGACAGAGATACCCAAGAAGTAATTAACAAAGCCAAGCTCCTTCATAGAAAAGGTGGTATGCATATGTGTAATGAGAGAGGTAATATAGAGAGGATCACTTCCTGTGAGGAGAATGTCATCTACATAGATGAGAAGAATGGTAATAGCAGTAGAAGTCTTCTTAATAAAAAGAGACGAGTCACAATGGCTTTGAACAAATTGATGAGTGAGAAGAAAATTGGAGAAGGTAGAGAACCAAGCTCTAGGAGCTTGCTTTAAACCATAGAGAGCCTTGTGTAACTTGCAAACAAGCTGAGATTGATTTGGTTGAACAAAGCCTGGAGGCTGAACCATATAAACTTCTTCTTCAAGAACACCATGGAGAAATGCATTAGATATGTCAAGCTGCTTGATGGGCCAATCAAAATGTAGGGCCAGACATAACAGAATTCTAATAGTAGGCTGCTTAGCCACAGGACTAAAGGTCTCATGATAGTCCACCCCTTCAGTCTGAAGAAAGCCCTTGGCAACTAACCTTGCCTTATATCTGGCTATAGAACCATCTGAATTTTTCTTAATTCTATAAACCCATTTACAGCCTATTGCTTGTTTGCCAGGTGGAAGATTAACTAAAGACCAAATACCTTGTTTTTGTAAGGCTTGAAATTCTTCAAGCATAGCAGATTGCCAAACAGAAGAAGAAGCTGCTTGTTGAAAAGTTTGTGGTTCAGATTGAGGAGAGAAAGAAGAAAGACAAGCAGTATGAGAAGAGGTTGATTTGGATCTGGTAATCATGGGATGAATATTAGAAGAAAGAGAGGGAAGATCAATAGAAATTTTGGAAATAACAATCGGATCAGAAGGGACAGGAGATAGAAGAGGAACAGAAGTGGAAGAGACTGGTACTGCTGGAATTGAGAAAACAGTGGGAGCTGCTGGATTAGAGTAGGCTGCTGAAGTAGTGGCAGCTGCTGGATTTGCAGGAATTGGGTGGGAAGAGACTGGTACTACTGGAATGGAGAAAACAGTGGGAGCTGCTGGATTAGAGTAGGCTGCTGAAGTAGTGGCAGCTGCTGGATTTGCAGGAATTGGGTGGGAAGAGACTGGTACTACTGGAATGGAGAAAACAGTGGGAGCTGCTGGATTAGAGTAGGCTGCTGAAGTAGTGGCAGCTGCTGGATTTGCAGGAATTGGGTGGGAAGAGACTGGTACTACTGGAATGGAGAAAACAGTGGGAGCTGCTGGATTAGAGTAGGCTGCTGAAGTAGTGGCAGCTGCTGGATTTGCAGGAATTGGGTGGGAAGAGACTGGTACTACTGGAATGGAGAAAACAGTGGGAGCTGCTGGATTAGAGTAGGCTGCTGAAGTAGTGGCAGCTGCTGGATTTGCAGGAATTGGGTGGGAAGAGACTGGTACTACTGGAATGGAGAAAACAGTGGGAGCTGCTGGATTAGAGTAGGCTGCTGAAGTAGTGGCAGCTGCTGGATTTGCAGGAATTGGGTGGGAAGAGACTGGTACTACTGGAATGGAGAAAACAGTGGGAGCTGCTGGATTAGAGTAGGCTGCTGAAGTAGTGGCAGCTGCTGGATTTGCAGGAATTGGGTGGGAAGAGACTGGTACTACTGGAATGGAGAAAACAGTGGGAGCTGCTGGATTAGAGTAGGCTGCTGAAGTAGTGGCAGCTGCTGGATTTGCAGGAATTGGGTGGGAAGAGACTGGTACTACTGGAATGGAGAAAACAGTGGGAGCTGCTGGATTAGAGTAGGCTGCTGAAGTAGTGGCAGCTGCTGGATTTGCAGGAATTGGGTGGGAAGAGACTGGTACTACTGGAATGGAGAAAACAGTGGGAGCTGCTGGATTAGAGTAGGCTGCTGGAGTAGTGGCAGCTGCTGGATTTGCAGGAATTGGGTGGGGCACTAACCATGAAAGTTTGGTGCCATTGGGATGTGAGTATACTTGTCATATTACAATACATGTATTATTTTATCTAACTGTAATTTTAGGTGAAAATATTTCTATTGAATAAACTTTTCTGAGTTAATTTTAGGTAAGTCATTTTAGGTAAGTCATTTTTGAAAAATAAAATATACTAAGATGATTTGGTCATGTGGATATAGGACAAAACTAGGAAAAATAAAATGAGGAATGAATGCATTCACAAGATAATAGAAGTACAAGCCTATTGCAAATAAAATAAGAGAAAATATACTAAGATGATTTGGTCATGTGGATATAGGACAAAACTAGGAAAAATAAAATCGAAGCAAAGGTAAGAAAATGAGGAAGCTGTGTTAATTTTCTTATAAGAAACCCAAGGATGATTTGATGATTTTATTTTTTTTATTTTTTAATGTTTTTTCTGAAGGATCATCCATGAGTACATGTGAGTGATCAGATAATCAGAGGTAAATAGTTCGAGCATGTTTGGTTACCATTCTCGGTATTGAATTATGTTGTCGATCAATGTCTTGAAAGTAAATGCAAGATGATTTGTTTTAATAATTATCATTCAGACATGGATTTGTTTTCATTGTATTTGGTTTTTTATGGTGTACTCACTTTAAACATTTTTATTAAGAGAAATTTTGATTCAACAATAAATGACTTTTTAGTGAGCTAATATACTTATTTGAAAAAGCTAAATGTGTTGAAAAGGTAGCGAGTGAGAGTCAACTTTGTAAAAATTGACTTGCAGAATTTTTGAAGGTAAGTCATTTTTGAAAAAATGATGCAAAAATATTACCTTAAAAAATGTTTTTACTTACTTTTTGTTCAACCAAACAGCGGAAAATGAGTAAAATGTTTACGTCAAAACAAACGGATCCTTGATGTTGCTTCCATTACTGAAAGCTCCAATATGTTTACACAATCTTGCCAAGGATTGAATTGAAATGTACTTGGGTAATTATTTTTGTGAGTCTAAAAAGATTACAAAATTAAATTTACCTACAGCTGTTAGCTTTTGAGTAGTATCTCATGCTGCCTCCAGAGAACATGGATGTGTCTGTCTTACTATCTCAGAGAACATGGATGCGTAATTTAGTTTTCTTTTTTGTTTTTTTATTTTTGTGGATGTTGATTGGTTTTCTTAGTTCCTTCTTAGTGGGAAATTCTTTAGCTATTAATGGTAATCAGTGAGTATGTGCTCTTAGTGGGAAATTCTTTAGCTATTCTGTTTTAATTTTTCATTTTCATGCTCCTTAATTGCTCTTGTACAAAACTAATATAACCATGTGGTTTCATGTCTTGCAGAATTCTGAGGAATAACAATATTTCTGGATCTATCCCATCCAATATTGGAGATTATCAAAGATTGTTACAACTGTAAGTTATTGCTATTAATTTCAGGTCAGCTCCCATATGCCGGCTAAAGTTCTACATCACTCATGCACAGGTCTATCTTGCTGTCATCCTCATGTTAACTCTATTAGCTTTCTTTGTGGTTTTTACATTTGTCTTATAATTTTTTTGCAACAATTTCTCAGTTATTTTTGTATCATTCATGTGCCAATAATGTTATTAAACTGTCTTTACTGAATGCTGTTGATGGTATGCTTTCTGAGTTTTTTAAAATTTATTCATTAATTTTTGACTTTATGTTTCTGTTATTCACGACACAAGTTGTGAAAGTCTTAGTGATTGATTCATCATTTCATCTTCGAACTGTTACTTTACCAAAGAGCAAGACTATTTCAATGTTTTTCTGGAGCCTCTCTAGGTTGCTCTACAATTGAAACTTACAGTGTCTCTCTTGCATTTGGAAAACATATGCAAATCACGTTTCTTTCAAATAAACACAATTTTCTGTATGGTTTGTTATCTATACATTCCGTCATGAACACAATTTTCTGGTATGTGGTTATTACCTTGCTATTTGCTACTTCCGGCTATATGCTTTACATTTTACACCTATTGCACATTTAGCGTTGCTCTCTTCATATATTTGTTGAACAAGTTAGTGGAAAAGACCACATGCTCAACCATTTGAGCATTCCAGCAGCTTGTTTCACTCACCCAGAAATTAAGTATGGTTGGACTCACAGAGGTGAATATCAAATTTTCCAATTCCCATACCAAACCCACAAATTTTCCAATTAGTGTTAGCATCACTTTTCTTAATTTTTAACGGTGTTTTTATAACCGCCGCATATTATTTAACCAAAACGGCACCGTTTTATAATTGAAGAACCAGTACACTTTTTGGGCTTTTATGAATAATTACAAAAAGCTTTATTGAAACACCAAAAACCATTTTATCGGTTCATAATCTCAATTGCTTGGTTTTTTAAGAATGAAATTGGTTAATGTGTTAACGTTTTCTGTCCTAATGGCGTATGTATCCATTATAGAGGTTTATTAGTGTGGAATCTTTCTGCACTCACCTGATTATAGCAATCAATCATATAGATATCCTGGATGCTCTCTGGTTGATGCTCTAGTTATGGAATTGTTCATGACCAGAAAAGAAAGTTTTCCCTACAAAAATGCTGACAGCATAAGTAATGTATCAAGCATTGACAATTACTTTTTTTTTAATTTTTATTCTCTCTCTCTCTCTCTCTCTCTCTCTCTCTCTCTCTCTCTCTCTCTCTCTTTCTCTTTGTTTTGTTTTAAATTTTAAAATTTTTACCTCTATGGATATGCTTTTGTGTGGAGAAGTCTAATTTCCTTTCCTGCTGCATCTCATTTCTACAGGAAGAATTACGTCCTTATTTCTCACTGCCAGTGGTTATAGATGGTCTTTTCAACCTCTCAAAGATGCTCTTTGATATTGCCAGTGGTTATTTCTCACTGTCAGATTTTACTGTGTCAAAAATTGCTTAGGCATTCCAATAGCTTACTTCTATTTTGATCCATATTCTTGTCCACTGGAAAAACATAGGGGGCATGGATGGACATCGTTGCTGGTTGGAGCCGTATTTTGTGTGAGGGTACTTTGTTCGATTCTTCTTCTTCATCGTTTTTATTCTTCATTTCTTCTTTGATTCTTCTTGGTTTTTTACATTTTTTTTTCTTCTTTTTTGCAGTGCAGCAAGAAGAGCCACTCGAACATTTCTTCTTTGATTCTTCTTGGTTTTTTACATTTTTTTTTCTTCATTTTTGCAGTGCAGCAAGAAGAGCCACTCGAAGTCGATTTCCTCCCTTTTGTCGAAGTTGATTTCATCTGTTTTTCGCAGCAACAAGAAGGTGACTTCAGCCCGGCCCTTGTTTTTTTTTAGGCCTCTTTAATTCATTCAATAGTAAACAGTAGCAAAGAGAGTCCTGGAATCCTAGGTCCCTATCATGCATTGATCTACCTAGTAATAGTCTAACAGAGAGCTTTCATTTGAATATATATTACTTAGTAGTTAGTTGTTGTCCCATTCAGAATCATAGAATCCAAAATTCTCACACAATGATTTCAGGTCCCTATCATGCAAAATGTTGAGAATTTATTTTATTAGTTTGCTAAATACATTATTAAGCTTTTCTAATTATATAGTTGCATTGTTAATGCCTCTAAGAAGGCTGTAGTTGATCTTCACAAGTAATAATGAATAGTTTGTCGGTGGTAAAACAACTACTTCATTTTATTATTTATTGTTTCTACATAATTAATGTGTTCTTGCATTAATAACATTTTTTTTTTACCTTTTAACAAGTGCAGGTGGTGCTGTCCATACTTGAACTGTCTGTAATCTCTCTTATGCGCTATTCGACCAAGAAATGGTCTTCTTGATTCAGTTCTCGGTAACCAAAATTATCAAAGCGTTCTTTCTCTCGTGGGCGATGCTGTATCCACCAAGAGCACATTTCATGTTTTCTACTGCCCAAGGTATCGCCAACCATAATTTCTTCATCAAAAGGATATCGGTGCGTACTGTTACTCTTCTGCTTATTACCATATGTGACTACTAGAACTAAAACTTAGAAAGCTTATGATATAGCTTGTCTTTGATACATAGTAGTGGTAAACTTGCATCCAACCCAAATGGCTGGTATAGAGCTTTATCAGTGACTGGTTGCAGCACACTTTGTGAAAATTTGTGGGAAGCATGGTGTAAGAGGGTTGTTGCATGTGCGATTATAATAGTTGTCAAAAAAGGTTTTTTAAAAAAAAAAGAAAGGAAAGGAAAGTAAGAAAGAAAGATTATGTGTTGTCAATAGGCATTTCATCTGGATGTAATGCGCAAAATAGTGTGGATAACTGGTCAAATAAACTTTCAAGCTTTAAAGAAATAAAATTGAAATAAGAAAATGAAGATTGCATTTGCGTTTCACTTCGGTTAATTTGTTAAAGACACAGGTTATGGCTGCACTAGTGCTAAAATGCTGCTATCAGGTTTATAACGTATAATTTGGAACAAATGGGCCTTGATGACAGAGTACTCCAATTTATTTTAGGTATGGCTTTAATTAACAATCATTTTTCCTCACATTCTTCTTTCTCTCCTCTTACGATGTTGCATACCATGTCCTTTCTAAGGTAGCTAAACCTAAACCTACACATTGCTACCTTATGTGATTGATTTTCAGAAGGTGGCTCTTCCAAAGGCATAGACTTTTGGTTTGGCTGTATATCCATGTTTAAGTTTTCAGCTTACATAAAACTTGAGCCATGTTATCTATTCGACCCAATTGGTTTCCTTTAGCATGGCATACTTAAGTATGTCTAAACAGAATCACTTAAGTTGTAAATAAATATTGTTTTTATCTATTTATTTCTGGCTAATATCCCCCCCCCCTTTTTTTTTCCATGGTCTTGCTGGCCGATATTGCAGATAATTGAGTCACAGCTTCCTTCATTTTTCAACAACTTTGATCCTCGTGCTACTGCTGCTAATTTCCCTTCAGGTAATGGACTTTCTAATTTTACCATCAGATTCTCAAGTATTCATCACTGTTATTTAGCTGGCTCTCGGATGTGCTTATAGCTTGAAAGTGCAAATAACATTTTTAAAAATTGGACATGTCAGGTGCGCAAGCATATTTGGCTGGGCTTACATTCGCATTAGCCGTTTCACCTTGCAGCACTCCTGTGCTGGCAACCCTGCTTGGATATGTAGCTGCATCCAAGGTACTTTTAAATGTTTATTGATTTCAATTTCCATCTGAATTATTACCTTTGCAGACTGCTTTATACTGATCTTCCTACCATCGGTAGGTGGAGGCCAAATCCATGCCATCATTGATAAACTGTTTGCCACTCTGTTTCGTTCTTACTCCTACACTTTTTGTTTGTCTAATTTTTATTGTTCGTTTGTATCTGGGCAATTTCTAACACATTGTCTGCAGAGCCTGCTTTCATTCCGCAAATTCTCAGCATGGATCAACCCAATGAGATATTTTCTCCCCATTTTTTGGCATTAGGATAAGTTGTGCTTGAGGTTCCTTTTTTGCATCTACTCTTCAATGTTCATCTTCATTAGTGGTCAGATGTTGACAATTATGTTCCTTCGAGTGTGGTGGTCGCTCATATACATGTATTTGATGTTTTGTAGTGGTGCTTTCCTCTTAGGCGGTGGTATTTATACTCTGTTGGACCGGCTTTTCCCAGTGACAATGGCTTGACGGCGCAAGAATGGAAAACATGCAAGTGTCCCTAATTATTACTCTGTATCTGCTTCTCATTGCTTCAGTAACTTGAAATTCATAGACTCTTTGCTATAAATACTAAAGAGACAAACCATGCCAGTAATAAAATACTAAAGAGACAAACCATGCGGAGGAGAAACTGTAACAAACTTGGGTCAGATTGGCCTGAAGAGACAAACCATGACTCACAATGGATTAAGATCTTTGAACAAATTGGACATGCTACAAATGAAAAAGAACGCGAAAGCAATCGCCAAGCATGCCAGTAATAAAAATGGTCCCAAAACTGAGAATGATAGACCATCAAGCGCCATTATATATGGAAGTGGGATGAACATTGTTTTTGTGGGAGCTGAGGTGGGTCCATGGAGCAAAACTAGAGGGCTTGGTGATGTTCTTGGGGGACTGCCACCAGCCATGGCAGTAAGCATCTGTCTCCAGCTCTATTTTTTTTATTTACTATACTTGTTTATTTGCTACTATAGTTGAATCATCTTCTTGGTTAGTTTTGTGGTAAATTGGTAAAACATTTAGGATGATGAATTTTTAACTAATCTGATTTCTATGCCAAATCATCATCTAGGGCAATGGGCAGTTTCCCCACGTTACGACCAGTACAAAGATGCATGGGATACTCATTGACCAAGGTTGTTTACTTAAAATTTTTCTTTCTTTTCCTTTTTTTATTTTATTTCCTCTTTTCTGGGTGGAAAGAACATATCTACTCTTGTATATGTCTTAGTGATAATCTTTTCTAATTTTATTTCTGGTTCTAATGCTAAGAAGTGTCCTGGTACAGGCAGATAAGAAAGATGAAGCATGAGAGAAGTATCCTGACAAAGCTGAAGCAGCAGTGTGGTGGTCAGTTCACATCAAAGATGGAAGGAATGGTGAGTTGTCTACAACCTGTATTAATTTGCAAGCCATGCTTTAATGTAGTTTTGGTATACTGGCAGAAATAATTGTTTTCTTGCTTTGCTGTTTTCCAGGTCACAGATTTGACTTTGGCAAGGGAAAATCAAACTAACTTTGAAGAGTACCTCAAAACCAATCCAGATGCAAGTCCTGGGATTGACCTGACTGTTGCTGTCCTAACTACTGGCTTTTGGCCTAGTTACAAGTCTTTTGACCTCAACCTCAGGCAGATTGAGTTATCAGGAAATCATGACTCAATTAAACTTGACAGATGATGATGTTGTTAGGCTGCTCCATTCTCTTTCATGTGCAAAGTATAAGATTCTTAACAAAGAACCAAACAACAAAACAATCTCTCCAACGGATCCACATTAGTGTGCTTTCTATTCCTATTTAATTTTTTTGGGGAAATTACACTTCTTGTAACCATATTCCAAACTGTAACCTTTGTAATCCCGAATCTTTCCTAGTTTGGTTTCATTTAACTACATTTTAAAATGTACTATTATTGTATAATTTTCTACTGTTCAATTTTACTTTGTTTATTTTGAAGATGAGATGAAGTTCTAAGCAAAACCCTTTCACTATGAAGCAAAATATAAGTAATTTAACCAAGTTGACATAACCATATTCCAAACTGTAACCTTTGTAATCCCGAATCTTTCCTAGTTTGGTTTCATTTAACTACATTTTAAAATGTACTATTATTGTATAATTTTCTACTGTTCAATTTTACTTTGTTTATTTTGAAGATGAGATGAAGTTCTAAGCAAAACCCTTTCACTATGAAGCAAAATATAAGTAATTTAACCAAGTTGACATAACCATATTCCAAACTGTAACCTTTGTAATCCCGAATCTTTCCTAGTTTGGTTTCATTTAACTACATTTTAAAATGTACTATTATTGTATAATTTTCTACTGTTCAATTTTACTTTGTTTATTTTGAAGATGAGATGAAGTTCTAAGCAAAACCCTTTCACTATGAAGCAAAATATAAGTAATTTAACCAAGTTGACATAACCATATTCCAAACTGTAACCTTTGTAATCCCGAATCTTTCCTAGTTTGGTTTCATTTAACTACATTTTAAAATGTACTATTATTGTATAATTTTCTACTGTTCAATTTTACTTTGTTTATTTTGAAGATGAGATGAAGTTCTAAGCAAAACCCTTTCACTATGAAGCAAAATATAAGTAATTTAACCAAGTTGACATAACCATATTCCAAACTGTAACCTTTGTAATCCCGAATCTTTCCTAGTTTGGTTTCATTTAACTACATTTTAAAATGTACTATTATTGTATAATTTTCTACTGTTCAATTTTACTTTGTTTATTTTGAAGATGAGATGAAGTTCTAAGCAAAACCCTTTCACTATGAAGCAAAATATAAGTAATTTAACCAAGTTGACATAACCATATTCCAAACTGTAACCTTTGTAATCCCGAATCTTTCCTAGTTTGGTTTCATTTAACTACATTTTAAAATGTACTATTATTGTATAATTTTCTACTGTTCAATTTTACTTTGTTTATTTTGAAGATGAGATGAAGTTCTAAGCAAAACCCTTTCACTATGAAGCAAAATATAAGTAATTTAACCAAGTTGACATAACCATATTCCAAACTGTAACCTTTGTAATCCCGAATCTTTCCTAGTTTGGTTTCATTTAACTACATTTTAAAATGTACTATTATTGTATAATTTTCTACTGTTCAATTTTACTTTGTTTATTTTGAAGATGAGATGAAGTTCTAAGCAAAACCCTTTCACTATGAAGCAAAATATAAGTAATTTAACCAAGTTGACATAACCATATTCCAAACTGTAACCTTTGTAATCCCGAATCTTTCCTAGTTTGGTTTCATTTAACTACATTTTAAAATGTACTATTATTGTATAATTTTCTACTGTTCAATTTTACTTTGTTTATTTTGAAGATGAGATGAAGTTCTAAGCAAAACCCTTTCACTATGAAGCAAAATATAAGTAATTTAACCAAGTTGACATAACCATATTCCAAACTGTAACCTTTGTAATCCCGAATCTTTCCTAGTTTGGTTTCATTTAACTACATTTTAAAATGTACTATTATTGTATAATTTTCTACTGTTCAATTTTACTTTGTTTATTTTGAAGATGAGATGAAGTTCTAAGCAAAACCCTTTCACTATGAAGCAAAATATAAGTAATTTAACCAAGTTGACATAACCATATTCCAAACTGTAACCTTTGTAATCCCGAATCTTTCCTAGTTTGGTTTCATTTAACTACATTTTAAAATGTACTATTATTGTATAATTTTCTACTGTTCAATTTTACTTTGTTTATTTTGAAGATGAGATGAAGTTCTAAGCAAAACCCTTTCACTATGAAGCAAAATATAAGTAATTTAACCAAGTTGACATAACCATATTCCAAACTGTAACCTTTGTAATCCCGAATCTTTCCTAGTTTGGTTTCATTTAACTACATTTTAAAATGTACTATTATTGTATAATTTTCTACTGTTCAATTTTACTTTGTTTATTTTGAAGATGAGATGAAGTTCTAAGCAAAACCCTTTCACTATGAAGCAAAATATAAGTAATTTAACCAAGTTGACATAACCATATTCCAAACTGTAACCTTTGTAATCCCGAATCTTTCCTAGTTTGGTTTCATTTAACTACATTTTAAAATGTACTATTATTGTATAATTTTCTACTGTTCAATTTTACTTTGTTTATTTTGAAGATGAGATGAAGTTCTAAGCAAAACCCTTTCACTATGAAGCAAAATATAAGTAATTTAACCAAGTTGACATAACCATATTCCAAACTGTAACCTTTGTAATCCCGAATCTTTCCTAGTTTGGTTTCATTTAACTACATTTTAAAATGTACTATTATTGTATAATTTTCTACTGTTCAATTTTACTTTGTTTATTTTGAAGATGAGATGAAGTTCTAAGCAAAACCCTTTCACTATGAAGCAAAATATAAGTAATTTAACCAAGTTGACATAACCATATTCCAAACTGTAACCTTTGTAATCCCGAATCTTTCCTAGTTTGGTTTCATTTAACTACATTTTAAAATGTACTATTATTGTATAATTTTCTACTGTTCAATTTTACTTTGTTTATTTTGAAGATGAGATGAAGTTCTAAGCAAAACCCTTTCACTATGAAGCAAAATATAAGTAATTTAACCAAGTTGACATAACCATATTCCAAACTGTAACCTTTGTAATCCCGAATCTTTCCTAGTTTGGTTTCATTTAACTACATTTTAAAATGTACTATTATTGTATAATTTTCTACTGTTCAATTTTACTTTGTTTATTTTGAAGATGAGATGAAGTTCTAAGCAAAACCCTTTCACTATGAAGCAAAATATAAGTAATTTAACCAAGTTGACATAACCATATTCCAAACTGTAACCTTTGTAATCCCGAATCTTTCCTAGTTTGGTTTCATTTAACTACATTTTAAAATGTACTATTATTGTATAATTTTCTACTGTTCAATTTTACTTTGTTTATTTTGAAGATGAGATGAAGTTCTAAGCAAAACCCTTTCACTATGAAGCAAAATATAAGTAATTTAACCAAGTTGACATAACCATATTCCAAACTGTAACCTTTGTAATCCCGAATCTTTCCTAGTTTGGTTTCATTTAACTACATTTTAAAATGTACTATTATTGTATAATTTTCTACTGTTCAATTTTACTTTGTTTATTTTGAAGATGAGATGAAGTTCTAAGCAAAACCCTTTCACTATGAAGCAAAATATAAGTAATTTAACCAAGTTGACATAACCATATTCCAAACTGTAACCTTTGTAATCCCGAATCTTTCCTAGTTTGGTTTCATTTAACTACATTTTAAAATGTACTATTATTGTATAATTTTCTACTGTTCAATTTTACTTTGTTTATTTTGAAGATGAGATGAAGTTCTAAGCAAAACCCTTTCACTATGAAGCAAAATATAAGTAATTTAACCAAGTTGACATAACCATATTCCAAACTGTAACCTTTGTAATCCCGAATCTTTCCTAGTTTGGTTTCATTTAACTACATTTTAAAATGTACTATTATTGTATAATTTTCTACTGTTCAATTTTACTTTGTTTATTTTGAAGATGAGATGAAGTTCTAAGCAAAACCCTTTCACTATGAAGCAAAATATAAGTAATTTAACCAAGTTGACATAACCATATTCCAAACTGTAACCTTTGTAATCCCGAATCTTTCCTAGTTTGGTTTCATTTAACTACATTTTAAAATGTACTATTATTGTATAATTTTCTACTGTTCAATTTTACTTTGTTTATTTTGAAGATGAGATGAAGTTCTAAGCAAAACCCTTTCACTATGAAGCAAAATATAAGTAATTTAACCAAGTTGACATAACCATATTCCAAACTGTAACCTTTGTAATCCCGAATCTTTCCTAGTTTGGTTTCATTTAACTACATTTTAAAATGTACTATTATTGTATAATTTTCTACTGTTCAATTTTACTTTGTTTATTTTGAAGATGAGATGAAGTTCTAAGCAAAACCCTTTCACTATGAAGCAAAATATAAGTAATTTAACCAAGTTGACATAACCATATTCCAAACTGTAACCTTTGTAATCCCGAATCTTTCCTAGTTTGGTTTCATTTAACTACATTTTAAAATGTACTATTATTGTATAATTTTCTACTGTTCAATTTTACTTTGTTTATTTTGAAGATGAGATGAAGTTCTAAGCAAAACCCTTTCACTATGAAGCAAAATATAAGTAATTTAACCAAGTTGACATAACCATATTCCAAACTGTAACCTTTGTAATCCCGAATCTTTCCTAGTTTGGTTTCATTTAACTACATTTTAAAATGTACTATTATTGTATAATTTTCTACTGTTCAATTTTACTTTGTTTATTTTGAAGATGAGATGAAGTTCTAAGCAAAACCCTTTCACTATGAAGCAAAATATAAGTAATTTAACCAAGTTGACATAACCATATTCCAAACTGTAACCTTTGTAATCCCGAATCTTTCCTAGTTTGGTTTCATTTAACTACATTTTAAAATGTACTATTATTGTATAATTTTCTACTGTTCAATTTTACTTTGTTTATTTTGAAGATGAGATGAAGTTCTAAGCAAAACCCTTTCACTATGAAGCAAAATATAAGTAATTTAACCAAGTTGACATAACCATATTCCAAACTGTAACCTTTGTAATCCCGAATCTTTCCTAGTTTGGTTTCATTTAACTACATTTTAAAATGTACTATTATTG